GCGAACACTGCTAACGACTGCATCACCGTGCTGGCCAAGAACTGCTCAAATTAAAATCCCCAAATGACCATGCATTCATGCTTGTACAACTACAAGTTGAAATTAAGCTCCAGAGATAGTAGCAGGGGGAAACAAGGTAACTTGTTTAATCTGTGCAGAAAACTCAGAAGAGTGAATTGTATTGTTTTTTTGCATAACAAATAAGATATAGTCATAAGTCGTTTGTGAACTTTAAAATCGCTGAGATGGATTTGATATTTTCTCTGCCAGAAACAATTAAAATCATAATTTAATGGATTAAATTAACATCCATCCATAGATATTAGACTTTACATTCTTAAGGTGAGAGTCTGAGTAATGAGACGTGATTTAGAGCCCCATCATCGACCAGGGTAAACACTGTCTAAAAGATTTAACGTTTCCCACCTTCAGACAGAATACCTGACACATTCTCATGGTCTGCGTTGGAAAGGCGTGTGCTCATACCCGCTGAGAGACGAGGCCACTTTGAGGCACTCACACATCAGCGGTGATCAAAGCCAGAGCCCCGGTGTTCTTCATCAACTCTACGACGTATACCTGGATCCACTCCCTGTTTGTTCGTCACCTATACGTGCTGATACTGAGCTATGCAAAGGAATCTATAGTTTACTTTACAGCATAGCAGCGAGTGAGGGATTGAAGGCCTTTCGACAGGTTCTTCTTTGTCATACAGCAATATGGTTTTCATGTCTGCATGTGTGGAGTCTTTGAAGTTCTCGGTTGAGACATACACCCAGCTGCATGCAATGAATCAGACAATTTTTGGCAAGTGATGCACTTTACTGACAGTAGAAACAGACACAAAGAGAGCACAGTATATTTTATAGAAAAAAGTTTCTAAAGTTGATGATTAAATTATTTATACAGTGATTTGCAGTTATATTTTAGCTTAGAAATGAAGGTTATAATTACCGTGGTCAAAGCCTTTCTTCTTTGAGCACAGAAAATCCTTCAGGGCAAGGGTTTAATGGTTTAATTGCAATGGTGTGTATTAAAGAGGATGCCAAGCTCAGAGCATGGCTGATTTCCTGGCAATGATAAGAGGTGTAATTACCGGGCACATGTGTGGGCCAAATTAACAGTTTTATATCTTTGACACTGACCAAGAACAAATGTTAAGTGTTTACTTTTTCTCAGTTGAGAGCCTGCCGGTCCGCCTCATCATCTCATTGTGGGTCTGTTTCAGATTGTACTGAGTTGTCTACAGTTCCAGCATCAGCATGTTGATTTATAGTATTTATCCAAGCTCACAGAGCTGGTATGTTACATTAATATTGTTTTGTTGTTAAGAGTTTGACAGATTTATAAATCAAACTTACAGCCAGCAGGTGGCTAACATAGCATAGTATATAGACTGGAACGATATAATCTGGCTCTATCAGAAAGTCCAGGACCTGTTAAGCTCAGTTATATTTGTTTTTTTAAGCACCGGAGCCTCTCCAGCTGTCATAAGGTGACAAGTGGGGTACACCCTAGACTGGTTACCAGTCTACTGGAGGGCAGCGATGAAATAATTTATAGAAATCATGTTTTTTGTTTGTTTGCTTTTTGTTAAAGCCCCCTCCAACCTGAGTGTGTTCTTGCTAGAGGTTGCTTCCTGTTAAAAGGGAGTTTTTCCTTCCCACTGTTGCCAGGGGCATGCTGTCTTTCTCTCTTGCGCGTCTCTCCATTATAGTAGGATCTTCACCTGACAATATAAAGTTCCTTGGGAGGATTGTTTGTGATTTGCTTCATATTTTATATAGATGAAGCAGAATTGAACCGAGACTTGCGTCCTATTTTTGGATTCTTTTTTATCCCTCTAAGGTCAACGTAAGGTTTGTTTTCACTTTTCAGTCTAGGAATAAAACCATTTGTTTAGGTGCAGAATAATCTCTATAAACAGACATCCAAATATGAGCATGTTTGTTAGTCTGTATTAGGTTCGAGTAATAGCCACCAGTCACATTTGAGCAGCCTGTTGAGTAAAGGTAAAATCTGGATACAGAGCACGGAAGGCCGTTGCCTATTGTCTGTAAACAATTTAGGTTTTCATTTGTTTTTCCATCTCTATTCATTCAGAGCCCCAAAATATTTGAGACTAGCTGATTGGTTCCAATACTGGGCTCAGATACTAAAACTGCCTGAACCATGCACATTGAAAATAATGTGACACGTTCATAGGTTCATAGGTCTTAATGAATAATGATGCAGGAAAATGCTCTGTTCTACTCATGTTGGACCATCACATCCTCATTGAAAGGCTGAAAAATTGGGTTGGTGTATCTGGAACTGCATTAGAGTGGTTCTCCTCTTATCTCCATCACCGATCCTTTTCTGTGGCAGTCTCCGATTTTAGGTCATCCTCTACCTCCCTCACTTATGGTGTCCCTCAAGGGTCAGTTTTGGGGCCTTTATTGTTTTTAATAAATCTTCTCCCCCTCCAGCATATAATGGGCTCTTTTGAGGACATTTCTTATCACTGTTATGCTGATGATACTCAGTTGTTCTTTTATGCCCGAGGATTTATCTAAGCTTCAGCGTCTGAATGATTGCTTAGATTTAATCAAACGTTGGATGGCTGCAAATTTCCTCCAACTCAACGAGGGGAAAACTGAAGTCCTCGTATGCACCCCTGATAGGTTTCTATCGCAGATAGTGAAAGCTCTCGGTCCTCTCTCACTCTATGTTAAATCCTCTATCAGGAATTTAGGTGTCACCTTTGACTCGAGTCTCACATTGGATGGGCATGTGAAATCTCTGGTTCGGGCTTGTTTTTATCATTTAAGAAATGTGGCTAAGCTAAGCCCGATTTTATCTTGCTCTGAACTGGAGATTGCTATACATGCATTTATTTCGTCACGCTTGGATTATTGCAATTCGCTGTTTATGTGTCTAAGCAAAGGTTCTCTGGATCGTCTGCAGGTTGTGCAAAACGCTGCAGCTAGGCTTTTGACAAAATCCTCCAAGTACTCACATGTGACACCATTGTTATCTCAGTTACACTGGCTTCCTGTTAAATTTAGAGTCAATTTTAAGATCCTGGTCTTGACCTACAGAGCTGTGCACAGACTGGCACCAGCCTACATCTTTGATCTGCTACAGCCCTATGTCCCTAGCAGGTCTTTGAGGTCATCTGATCAGGGCTTACTTGCTTTAAAAAATACTAAGAGGAGGACTAAGGGTGACAGAGCTTTTGCCACTGTGGCCCCGAGACTGTGGAACTCTCTCCCCCAAACATTAAGAACTGTGGACTCAGTAGCTGTTTTTTAAAAAACAACTCAAAACTCACCTTTTTAAAACTGCTTTTGGTAAATTTTTTGCCTGTTTTATTTTCTCTTTTTAAATCTTTTTATGACTTGTAATCTTATGTGCAGCACTTTGTGATTCTGTCTTGAAAGGTGCTATAAAATAAAAATTTATTTATTTATGAGCTGGCAGTGAATCAGTGAGCTTGAGAGCTGCTGGATTTTCTTACTTTTGAAGTGTTGGATTAACTGTTTCCCTCTGTTTTCAGTCTTCGTGCTAAAAGAAACTAACAAGCCAGTGGTGTTTGCTTCATATTTAGGAGATGGAAATAAAAGTAGTATCAATCTCGTCATCTATATTTTAGCAAAAAAAGCACATTTTGTTAAACGTTTGCTTAAAAGCTTATAGTATTGTTATGTTAACGAATATCATAAAATAACTTGGCCTCCAGTTTTTTGGAAACCGTACTGAGTGAGTAGTGTAAAGGTATTCTTGCCCAAATCAATCCCTTTTATCTGTTTCCAAGCCTCAAAATCGCAACAAAAACAAAGATCAGTTTGACATGCAGCGCCTGTTAAGTGGTTTATTTTGCCTGATGTCAGAGAAAAGAGAAAATCAGAGAGTGAAAAGCGGTGTGTGTGTGTGTGCTGCAAATCCCCAAACATGAAACAGTTTTTTATTCCAGCCTAACAAAAAGACACACAAGGATTTACTCTGTTGCGGTGGAACAAGATGCAAGTCTTTAACGGTGAAGAAAGGGGCATGTTGGTTTAGCAGATAAGTGATCCGTGTCCCGCTGCCAAACCTAAACAAATTCCATTTCAGACAGCTCACCTTCATGGCTCGTCTTTATCTCCTCTTCCATCTCAGCTGAAGACTCTTGACATTTGGGGAAGGGTTAGGGTAAGTTTGTGAGCTTGCTGTGATTGGAAGTCATTCAGCCTCACATTTTATAGCAAAATGAAAACAAGCAAGTTGTAGCACTACATATAAAAACGTTTCATCCAGAGGACTTCCCCCCGTGAGATCTCACTCACCTAAACAGCAGTTTCTTACCAATTAGTTATCTGAGAACATACACCCTGATTGGAAAACACACAACCCTTTGTTTATATACTATATTCATGCCATCTTACTTATTAAATTTTCCATCATTAGATCTAATGAGCAGTATTAATACAAAAATACTGGTTTGTCTTTTAGTGAGGGGGAAAGTGTTGGCCACTTTGACATGTTGTTATAAACTACAGTAATTGAGGCTTGCGGTCCACAGAATCGACATTACACATAGACAGGCAGACTCATTTTTCACCAGGGTGCTCATGGAAATTTTCATGTGCTGAAAAGAAAAAAAAAACCAACTACTCTTAACAAAGTTTGTTTACATTCATTCCAGCCTGTTGGGCAAAATAAGAAGTGACGTGGCACACGAGTGAATTATCTGGAATGAAAAAATAAGCACAAGGTAAAGCTTTCGGAGGATGATGGTGACTGATGGGCAGTTGAGAGGCGTTGCAGTTGACTGAGCAAGAGAAACAGAAAGAAAGACATTTCCCTGTTTGACCAAAATGACTATAAAATAAATGATTATTATACAAATTGAATAAACTTTTTAAAGGTTTCTCTGACTTGAAATCTTGACGGAGGGTGTGCGTGGATTGCAATCATGACGCTATGAGTCGACACTCATGTTGTGCTAATAATTTATACAGACTTCTGTTCTGGTGCAGGGTTCTGATCACCAGAGGGTGGATCCACTGGGATCATGGATGGACTTTGTGAAACGACCCGTTGGAAACTTTCCTGGAAAATGTCGCAAACGCAAACGACCACTGGTAAACCCAGAAGATAGGCTATTTGTCCCACAGTTATTCAAAAATGTTCACTTTAAGCCATTTTATGTACAAAATTTTTATGCTAAGTTGGATACATGATTATTTTTTGTGTCTCTGTCTTCCATTAGCCAGGCCCACCCGGTCCTCCAGGTCCTCCAGGTCCCCAGGGTCCTCCTGGCTCTCCTGGGGCTCAAGTAACTCAAGAAGTTCTCCTGCAGGAGTTCAAAGAGATGATTAAAGGTAGAAGCCTGTTGATTTTTTGTCCCAATTCATTTATTCTCCTTTATTGGATACAAGGTTGTTCTTTTCTTCATCTTACAGTTATACACCTTTTTTTTAAAATTACAATATAATCCTAAGAGAATAGTTAAAAAAATCCAATTGAGTCACTGTGTGCTGGGCATGTTTCTGTCAGAGGCTACAGAGAGGCGAACAGCAGCCTTGGACAGACAAATCAGCCCCAGCCAGCTACCTACAACCATCCTCACCCTGGAGGGGATGACCTCGTACCGCAGAATAGAAGAAGCTTTCCACTGCAAGCTCAAGGGACCCGTAGTGGTCGACAAGAAGACTCTGGTGGAGCTCCAGAACTTTCAGACAGTAAGTTTGTTTGAAGCCAAGTAAATGTTTATGAATCGGTCCAGCTTTGTTCCCTGCTTGCGGCTGAAAAACTAAAGTTTTGGCTAACCATCCTCTGCAGGGTTTCACATTTTGTTTCTCTGTCGTAACCCTGAAAGAGTAAGTGTTTGCTAATCACTGCTTACTTTGCATGTGGGAGAATTATGAGGGGATCATCCCCTCACTGGTAACTGGCACTGGCAAAGCATGCAGTGCCACTCCAAGACTCAGACTGCCTCTTTGGTCAAAAATATCAGCTTTTTCTATTCTACACATCACTCTCTGGGCAGCTTACAAAAGGCACTCTGTCTCAGACTTGGAATAAAGTGTGGAGAGGACAGAAATAGACACTGTTTGAAACAGCATGCTGTAGTGGAAGAACTATGCCCAGTTAGGACTAGCTGACAAGGCTGGAGGAGGGTGCATTGGGCTCTGCACACTATTAAACATGCAAACACAGAGCTATGTTAGTGAAGACGTGTTACTATGGCTTTGGAAAGTTTTAATATTTTTGCAGAGTCAGAACTATAGAGGCACACAATGAGACAAAGGATAAAAATAAGGTCTGAGTCCACGGGCCCTATTTATTAGAGATTCATGGTTTAGACTCCATGTGTTAAATGTAATCAACTTTAACTCATGTGCTGCGTGTGCTCAGGGATAACACATTTTGTGAATTTTGACACAATGTGTGCTCTTTTAAAAATTTCTAACATTTTTTAATGCAAATATTTGTACACACATAAAACAAAACAAAAAATCTATAGAAGCCACAAACAGCCGCTGATCAAACCTGTTTATGAGCAGCAGCCAATCAGAAGAACTTTGGTTTAAAGGGATGGTGGTCTTAAAGTAGAAGTGTCCTGTCTTCCTTTTCTCTCTCCAACCGATTGTGGCACATGGCCGCCCCTCCCTGAGCCAGGTGCTGTTGGATGTTTCTTCCTGTTAAAAGGGAGTTTTTCCTTCCCACTGTCACCAAAGTGCTTGCTCATAGAAGTTCATATGATGGTTGGGTTTTTCTCTCTATGTATTATTGTAGGGTCTACCGTAAAATATAAAGAACTTTGAGGTGACTGTTGTTGTGATTTGGCGCTATATAAGTAAAATTGAATTGAATTGAAAGTGCTGAAAAAGCTTGTTTCAAACAATGAACTGGGGGGCTGCTGCACTAAGGTCCAGTGTAAGATAAATTATTTTGAACTGGGAATTATGCAGTAATCCAAAAATAAAATACTGTTGCATTAGAACCTAAATATTAATAATTACTAAACAGTGGTATATAAAGGGCGGGTAAAATAACCAATAGTCACTGCCAGTTAGGCGTGTTTTAAATTCCTGCCAAAAAAGTGGATGGATCAATCCAGCCCATATGGGGAACACAGTTCACAGTCTATCAAGATGGCCGGGAGCAGTCCCCACTCCTACCAGCAATCTCCTATTTATCACTTTGATTTGCTATTCTCCTCCTGCCTGGTCCTCAGCGTTCCCATGCTACACCAGCATTTAGGTTTAGTAGCTGCACGTTCGTGTAACGAGTGAAAAATCCCTGGTTTGACCTGGGGAGGACGCACAAATTCCTTTGGGGTTGCATCAGGAAGAGTAAAGAAAAAAATCTGCCAAATCTAACATGTGTTGCTACCCATCGTGGCGACCCGATATGGATAAGGGAACAGGCGAAAATAGCTTATGCTCCTTCACATCAGTAAACCTCCATGTGAAAAATGGAACAGCCTTGTCTCATTAATGCCATAATCCATGCAACACCTTGTGCATAAATGAGCCATGGAAGCAGTTCTGTCATAACTGTGCCACAGTGATGAGAAAGGGCAGTGGCTGTAGGATTGTTTCTGCTAAAGTGCCCTGGAAGCACACACAGAAGACATACCGTACTTAGTGCTCTGTAGCTGGGCCTTTATTTTGTGGTCCTGTATACTGTTGCCATAAAACATATCCACTATCAATCTTTTTTTTCCTGTGCTTCCAGCCGCCTGCTAAAGGAGCTTTCCTCAGAGGGTCGGGAATGGACCAGTCGACTGGGAGGTTCACAGCTCCCATCACAGGGATCTACCAGTTCTCTGCTAATGTCCATATTGGTAAATCACAGTAACTTTCCTATAAAGCTTATTACTGTAATATAGCAAAGCCTTAAAGCCCCTGCTCACTAATAGACCACCCAGATAGGTCTTGGCCCTCTTTTTGGATGATTAGACCTCCACTAAGGAGCGAGGGCATGCTTCCATTCTCCTCTTCATGCTTTTGTTGGCTTTGTTAAAACAGTTAAACTTATCACAGTTTTGTGATAAGAAAAGAAGCCTTGATTCTAATCAAGTTCATACATACACACATTATTGAAACCTCGCTGAAGCAGAGACTCTCTGAGCAGCTTAGCAGAGAAGCAACTGTTTACAGAACACCCAAACAAGCTCTGTTTGTTTGACGAACCACTTCTCGTGCCATAAGAAGCTGCGATATGATTTTACGTCCAGTGCAAATAAAAAGTAGCGTCTCATTCGTCTGACCACTTCATTGTCATCTTATCATCTTCTGATCCTTGAATGTTTGAAATCTGGCCCATTGTCAGACATGAAAAAAAAAAGATCCTTGGCTTAGTATTATAGATGGGTTTTTAAGAATTGGTGTTAGCTTGTAATAAATGCGTCACCACTTCACCATTAATCCACCGTTTGTTTAATGTCTAAATTAGGAGTAGTGGGAAATGTTTGAGCTACAGTAAATAGTGTGGCTGAAACCGTAACACTAGACTAAACTGATGTATCATTGCAACTATAAATCCCTAAAAAGTTCATTTATAAAAGTTGATTTGAACCCTTATGTGTGGAAATCCAGTCATTTAATTGCCTGTTTATAATTAAGAAGGTGATTATAGGATATATATATACATACTGTGAGGCCCATTTTCTTAACCATTTATCCAACTTAGGGTTGCAGAGCACGGGAGCCTTTCCCAGCTGTCATAGGTTGAAAGGCGGGGTGCATGTCAGTCTATCACTAACACTGAAGGCTATCGAAATTCAGTTTAAGATTTATACCTTTAAGACTCCTACATGTAAAGGATAACTTAAATCTTGGTAATCCTTTATGCAATGATCCTTTTTTTTTATTGAAATGACATATTGCATCTGTTAAAAGAAAAAAAAATGGGGGTAAAATGTCAAAGGAAAAGATTAAAGTAACACGTTCAGAAGCAAAAATCACATCCCCACAAATTTACAATTTTTTTCTTCTAAAGTTTCCTTTTTTTCATAACCTTTGCACTTCAATCTTGAAATGTTAAGAGTTTTTTCTTGTTTCTAGTGTAGTTTTAGTTTTATTGACCTATGCTGTTTCGTCTTTGTCCTGTATTTTAGCCTGTTCTAACCTTATAGACTCTTTTTGATGTTTTAGCTACTTTTGTAACTCTTGCTGTCCTATCTTAATTGATCACTGACCATTTTACAGATCACAATGAGGTGAAGAGGAGCAAGAGCCAGCTTAAGGCCAGGGACAATATTCGGGTGTTGATCTGCATCGAATCCCTCTGCCACAGATACACGTATGTATCCTGTAAGGTTGTTAAATATCCTGAAGCTAAGTCTCCTATAGACTCACCCCTAAATCCCCTCAATTATGCACCTAATCTTTGTAACAACGTAGTTTTGGCACGTTAGTGAATAATATCGCCACCAATCACAAATAAAATCAATCTTGAGTAGGTTTCAATATTACTACAGTCATCCTTTGCATTCTTGAGATTCTTGTTTTGTCAATTTACGTTTGGCTTTTCTCCTCTCACAGTCATATTTTAGTGGTGTTTAATGCTTCCTTAACTTTCACCAGAAGTTACGAGCTGTAAAAGGGGTTGTCTGTTACACTTTGTGTGGAACCAGTTTGGCATTTCCTGTATAAAAACAGAGCAGGTCTCTAAAAGGAAATGTCCTCTCATTTAGAGGCCTTGTCCTTGTCGCCTAACTAATCTTTATAGACTCACCTTTGACACTGCAGGCAGCCTGTTACATACAACAGCACAGCAGAGAACTGCTCTAGTTTGGGATGTGCGAGGCAAATAACGAAGCATCAGATAGGGTGGGCTTGAAGGGCATTTATTTTATTTTATGTTTTTACAAAACCATACCAAATCCAAATTCTTTCCAGTATTTCAAAATTTCTATTTACATAAAGTCAGTGAAAGCTGTTGAAATGAATTGTTCCCTGAAGTCTCCCCTGGACTGTGCAGAGCTCCACAGCCTCCCTTTCAGTGTGGTACAATGAGGGGAATGCATAAATAATATTATTATGATGGGTTACTTAACCCAAAAGAGTGCTTGGCTTTTGCTTTTTTGAGCCAAAGCCCCAGCCAGTCTCGCCCTCCCACTCATGAAAATGCAGAGAATGTGAAATGGGGCTCATTGTGATGGCAGTTGGAGGGAAGGCCAATATGATTGATTTGCCATAAAAATGTATCATTTTCCACTAAACAGGAGCCAGTGCTCTCACTGTGTGGTTGCAGCTATGTTACAGCCATCTGTGCAGCCTCTGAGAGTGCTCAGTTGCTCAAGGAAAAGTTTGACCTTTGGGTCAAACTCGTCTTTATGCTCTTTTCTTTCTGAGAGTCAAACAAGAAGATTGAGATTATTCAAACAACTGTATCATGGATTCTGAAGCTGCCACAAGAAGCTAGCTAAGACTTGAATAATACAGGCCTAAAGGCTGGACAGCAGCCATATTGCATGCGCAATTCACGAATGAAAAATACATATTTCCCAACCAGTTGGCGAGAAGATGCTGGAGGTTGGTGGCAACCCCTGGGGAAAAATGGTCACAAAGAGGTACATGGTGTGGCACCAAAAACCTGTTTGCGGTTGCTTTGTTTCCTAGCAGGTTGCTATGGTCACCAGTGTTTTGCATGAAGATGCCGACTTATCTGCAAATAATTGCCATTTACTCGGCAAGAGGTCGTGAAACTATGAAGAGTGCCTGCAGTCCAGAAACAAGGACTGTTCCCCTTCAAAGTAAAAGTTTCACTCTTTGCAATATTGGCACAACTTTTACTTTGAAGGTGAAGTTCTCAGTTTGCATCAGCTACTGGTTTGCCATGGAACGTGTGGCACATGGCAGCATTTTGAATACTATTAAAGAGTATTATGTGATCAGTGTAATCAAATGGCTCAAAAATACAGATCCAGGATTTGTATGGAGAATACATTTTGATTGTTTTCCAAGGTTTTTTATTTTATTTTTATTTTAGTTTGGAGCAGTTGATTTTCCTGACATTTTACCAATAGACCCCGCAAGCCAATGTGTAATAGGCATAAACAATCAACACATAGTTTCCCTGTTTACCCTTAAACTATGTCAAAGGAATAATTCCTCTCATCTAAAACTTGGCAGTAAAGTGAGCATGCATATTTGGCCAATGACTAACTATCTTTTTAATATAAGGCCTTTTACACTTGGATGAAGTTCATGGGGTTTTAAAGAATGCAGCTTTGACATGTTTGAAAATTACTCAGAAATGTTATTTTTTAATCTGATTGCAGTTCACTGGAGATGATCGTTGGCTTGGAAAGTAACAGCAAGATATTCACTGTCAGCGTGCAGGGACTGCTGGAGCTGCAGGTGAGCTCAGGGACACACAAGAGTAAGACATAAAGTACTCTTCTACACTCTTTCTACATTTATTTTTATTTGTTTCTGCTCTGCAGGCTGGGCAGTACACCTCCATATTTGTGGATAACGCAGCCGGTGCTTCCATTACAATACAGAACGGTTCAGATTTCATGGGCATGCTGCTTGGTGTATAGCCTCAAACACGAGCAGGGCATCCTCCAAGCTGTCCACTGCTGCCTTTTATTTTTTTATTTTCTTTCAATGGACTGCTTATGAGCACCGCCACACAGGACCAAACCACAGGGGAGGCTTGAAGGAAGGATGTAAGGCTGACATTGACTTGACTGCTTGTCAGATGAAAGTCAGTGAAAGGACAGTGTGAAGCACTCATGGACTGAGTTTGTTTCTCACAGTGCACTTCCACCTCCCCCCCCAGGAACTTGGACGCATGTTGCTTCACAGATAGAATAACCTGAAAATAAAATGGAGAATATGTTTGTTACAGTATATTTTTCATGGTTGTTGAAGACCTTTGCAGTAAACCAAGATTTTTTTTATGTTCTCTGTAGTGGTTGAAAGAGCTAGGGAACACAAAATAGTAAATTTGTGCATTTAATGTATATTGACATTCATGTTTTTGTCTTTTCTATCTATTGTCTAAACACTCATGAACTATAATTTTGTTGGATTAAAATCCAGTTTTATTATATTATATGGTACATAGACTCCTTGAGTACACTGGACAGTTAAAATATGCTCAGTAGACAGGCCTCATGTGGTATTGTATCATAACTGTTGCTGCATTTTTAGCCATTTTAGCATCAGTTAAGACTGAAATATTCAACGGTGAGAGGATGGATTAGTTGTATAGAGTCCCACAGACCCACAATCCCACAAATTTCGCTGATCCTCTGACTTTTCCTCTACAGCCAATACGTGATGCTTACATTTATCATTTTTGAGTTAAATATTTGAACAATAATGCCATGAAATTAACTGTTTGCTCCAGAATAAAATGTAAGCTAATTTCATCTGTGATTCCTGATCTTTTCAGATGGTAATTTGACTTGTCCCACAGTTTTGTTTATGGCATCATTTTAGTGCCAGTTATCAAATGCTAACATCCCCGTGGCTAAACGTCACCAATTTAATACCATAGACTGTATATAAAAAATGGATGTTTAAGAAATGAAAGTACTACAACGTACCTTAAACTGCATTCTTTCGATGACCAGCAGGTGGGCAACTTTTTTTTGTTTGTTGAAAAAGTAAGGAGGATTATGCAGCGTATTCTTATTTGCTGAAACGGGAATTCATACTACCAATTCATAGTTCATGTCCATTTGTGCAGGTATATTGCTACACTGAGTGAAGGATTTTGTGTATGCTTGACTGGAGTCCTTGAGAAAAGCCATCAGCATGTAACAGATAAGCAGAATGCTGATTGGCTGAAAAAAAGGAAAGGGAGTGAAGAAAGAGTAGGAATAGCAAACCCCCCCACTAAAAATCAAACATTGGCTGCAGTGGACACTTTTTATTGTTTGCAACATTTGTAACAGTTTCACTTCAACACTTTGTATGTTGTAACTTTGGTCTTCTCTGTGGTTGGCGGAAGGTCCAACAACAACAACACAAGCTGCCCTCTGGTGACAGCAAATAGCTAAAACATGTAGACAATGGTCTGCAACACTCTGTGTGGTGACCAGTACACAACAATGCCAGTTGCTTAAGAACAACAGATTCATGTGCAGCATAGTCAGTTTCTATTGGTGATGGTAAAAACTTGACTGTCAAAATGAGTCTTTCAAAACCAGTGCCTGACTACATCCATATTTCATATACAGCCTGTGGTTGACACCTAGCCTTTTAGACTATAGAAAGAAGAGTTTTGCAAATACTGCTGAGCATTTTTATCTTCAACTCATCTGAGAGGGAAGAAGTTAAAAGTTTGTGATCTCATCCACCTTGTGTGGATACTCCTTTTCCACCACCTGGATATGTGTCCATATTGTTTGCGACAAATGCCAATAAATTATTAGTTTTTAATGTCATGTCACGAGCACCTTAGTACCACCATTGTCAGTCAAAGGCTCACTCTTTTTGCCATTTTTTTATCTCACTCTCAAGCAGCCATTCTTCTGCTTCATGTTTACACCTGGAATGGTCAATGCAATACATTTATAGGTCAGTTAGTGTATAAGGAAATTAATATACTCCAGTTTCCCTGTAAAATATTGTGTTTTTACAGCTTTTTAAAGATTACGTAGAACAATGTTTGGATGAACTAAGATTTTTTTATACAGTCCCCTATGTTTTATCTTTTACAAACCTTAAATATTTTTATTGTATTTTATGTTTTTCTTGACAAATACATGTTTGTAATTTATCATAACTGATATATTAGTAAGTTTGGGAAGCATTGAAATTTGATATTTATGTTTGAGATCCACAGTTAATGCCATAATCTATACAGGAAACCACAGAATTAAAAGATAACTTTACTATTTTTTAATTAAAATATTCTGTAAATTGAAATAAAACTCTTTAAAATGTTGCCACGTGTTGTCTGCACATAATTTAAACATCTCCTTACAAGATTATGGTCATTGATTGCTTAAGATGTGAGGAAAATTATCAATATCTTCATTTCAGAAATTCATTATCAGAATTTGTATTTTATTTCTCTGCAATACAACAAAGCTTTTCATGCCTCTGTGCCTTTATTTGAATTGTAAAATACTCGAAATATTTCAAATACCTCTGCAAGCAATATGGCAGCCTGCCAAGTAAACGGCTGCATTTACCTACCTGCTAAAACTGCCAAAGACACTACACAACATTCAGGTTAATGCCCCCCTGAGAGCTAAATATAATGGCTGTTTTGTCCAGGCTACTTTTCACGTGTTTTGTTTTCCTCGAGTGTCCAGTTTAATTGAAACTAGATAGCTGCTGTCGCTCACAACATCCTGATAAATCAGGTCTTTATTGCTACTCTTGCCGTGCTTATTAAAAAGCTTTGATACGAGCATATTGTTTCTTGGGTGGTCTCACGAGCCACAAATGCACGTCCAGCCAGTGAAATGAGGTTGTTAGCATCACTGCATGAACATCTTACAACAGAGGCTTCTCAAAGAAGCATTGCTGACATGCCAACTGTCACATACTGTACCCAAGGACCGACCACAAGAACGTCGCACCCATGTGCTATTCCAGCCACCTACTGTAGCACACATTTCAGACAGGAATAAGCTGCTTGCTGAAGAAGCACACCCAAAATTTGGAAAACAAACATTACATTTTTATTTAGAAATGAGCTGACCAACATTTTTAGGTACCACGTAATATTTGTTCTTATTCCCCCACAATTTAATTTTCTACCAGTCAAGAGGAATAAAGACGCTGAAAATAACACAGCCAGGATTTATTGAGTGTATTAGGTGAGTGGGATTGCTGCAGCGTACTCACTTTCCATTTTTTCATAAGCTGTAGTCTGTCAACAGGTTTAACTGTGCAGGGATGACAGACGATATAATATTTGCCTTTTCATTGCTCAAGAAGCAGGAGAGTGGCACACACTTGTGAGTTTTGATTGTCTTATGTTTTTTTTTTTTCCCAAAATGTGTTTAATGACAGCTATGCGAGCATGCCGTAACGCATTCGCTGCCCCGCAGTGGAACACGGAGCCTGCCAAAGTGGTTGCGAAACCAGCCTGCGCCACGACTCTGACAGGAATTTCCCATCGCCCCATTATCAGCATCAGACAAGCTGAGTGATTGCAATTACATCTGCCCAAATGCTAAGAGCAACTGCTTTTTCTCTTTTCCCCTAAGTGAGGTATTATGAAAGGCCCCATTGTGAATCTCTGAGGTTCCTGTCTGCCCTGTAAACCAACATAGTTGGGCTGTGTAGCTTTAATGAGGCCTTAATTATGAGATTCCTCTACCTTAGTCAATGACTCATTGGGTGATGGCTTTACGCAAATCCCTCTTAGTACAGCTTCTTTAAAACAACTAAAGGATATGTTTATCAGATTTTAATCCAGACAACTGAAAGCTCTGAAGTCTTTCTGGAGTGTAAGAACTTTATAAAATGACATTAGCTGGATTTATGTAGTGTTCAAACTGCACATTGGATTACTTCTGAAACCTCTACACTGTTAAAAAAATGTCTATGTGTTTCTAAAGCCACTGATTGAATATTTCTTTATAACCAGCCTCTTTCAGTGATTGGTCAGCTATGAGGAGGTGAGAGAGGAGGTACTAAATGTCTAAGCTCTCTTTTTCCATTTGTTACTTGGCTATTTGTGGAAATTTTCATGTGAACAATGCAATGCACTATGAGTTAAAGTGAAGTCAGGCCCATCCCGCAGTGTGTTCCCCACTTTTTAAGCCTTTTTAACCAAGTATGAACAAATCTCATTATTAAAGGTGTTTGTGGCCTATGATATAGGCCTGGTCTTTGCTGCAGTTTAAAGAAATGTGTAAAAGATGCTTTGAGGGAGATTATATTCAGTGGATTCAGTATGTGGCTGCTCTAATTGTTCCAAAGCACTCTCTTCTTAACATGCACTTTATCTAATGACCACCAGGGAAGCGACACCTTTGATCACAAAGGAAGTCCAGTTACATGTAGGTGAATGGGTAAGCAGGGTTTGGCTCGCTCAGTCTGTACCCTCAGTAAACACTTTACTGATGAGTTTATGTTCTTATTCCCAAGTTTAATGTTTTATTGGACTCAGCATGATGTTTATTGTTAAAATTATGGTTGACAATCTAAGGTATATTTTATGAAGTGTCCAGTTGCTTTCCTGGGAGTGTGCACCATCCCTTAACTTCTCAATCAGATTCAACCCTCAACTAAATCCATTGGATTATCAGTAGTTAGTCTGTTATTTCTAGTTCAGGGAGACCACACCTGACCTTCACTGCTGCTTACAGCAATACTTTAAAGTAGATTTTAAGCAGGTTTTATGTAGTAACCTCTGTATTTGGCTGCTGAGATCTGGCAAGTCTCCCTCTCCCTGTTGCTGAGCAGTACCCTCATAAAATGATGCTTCCACCACCACCTTGACAGTCAGGATAATATTAGATGACCAGTGTCCAGACGTGGTACTTGGAGTTCTACCCAAGTGTTATGTTCCTGGAAAGGGCTACCAGATGAAGAGAATAACAATAAAAGTGTCAGTAAGCTCTTTAGAACGACCCATTCGCTCACAAATGTTTGTAAAGGCAGATTACATGAGTAGGTGACTGATTTTATGCAACAGCAGTTATGGGACCAAAAAACAGTTGAATTCAAAGATCAAGGGGCATAATACTTCTTTGCATATAGTGTATGTGTGTCATATAAAAAATGAACAAAAGAAAGGCAACACCAAATGCTAAATGCTGGAAAAAAGGATCACTCAGTGAAAGGCATATTGCTTGTCTAGCTGGAGACATTCACTGCACTACTGAAACAGGCCCACTGGGGCTGGCTAGCTCTTCTCTACAGCTTTCAAACACTGTGCTGATTGCTGAGTGAAGTCAGCTGCACTGGCTCCACAGGAGAAATGGGCTGGCACCAGGGACACACACACAAATCAAAAAACAGAAAAACGGGCTGAAAAACGCTGTTTGGTTCTTACTTGTGATTTTCATCTAACATAAAGTTTGTTTGATGTGTTCTGGTGAAACTGATGTCCTTCTTAGATGCCTTTTTCTTCAAGTTCCCTTCACAAGATCTGGGCGGAAACAGCTGAGGTAGATTATTAAAAAGCAAAGTTAATTTGACTATGTGAATGGTGATCATTGCTGTAGATCTGAAAAGTGAAAATGTCTTAAAATGCATTCTAATGGCCACCAGGGGGACAATGCCTCTGGTTGCAATAAGTTCATTTGTATGTGAGTCAGTGGGAAAATGGAATTCACCTCCCCTGATCTGCAACTTCTGCAAACACTTTCCTGATAAGTTTATGGTCTCAGTTGTTAGTTTCAGGTGTTATTAAGTACAACATGAAATCTGTTTTTTAAACAATCATCCTCATCAAGGT